CCCATTGGGAATGTGGGAGGTGAGGCCCCGGGGATGGAATTCCCATTGGGAATGTGGGAGGTGAGGCCCCGGGGATGGAATTCCCATTGGGAATGCGGGCTGGGGGCTGAGCATTCCCGGTTTTCCAGCCGGCCGTGGATTTCTTCAGCCACGAGGTGCGGATCCACCCGGTGACCAACCGGCCCGCGGACAAGCGGAGCTTCATCCCCTCCCTGGTGGAGAAGGAAAAGGTGGGAGAGCCCGGAATTCCGGCAGGGAGATCCGGGCGGGAAAGCTGAGGAGGGTGGGAAGATCCCGGTGGGATGGGAAGGGTGGAAAATCTCCGGTGGGACCAGGAGACTGGGAAGGTCCTGGTGGGATCAGGGGGGTGGAAAGATCCAGGTGGGACCAGGAGATTGGGAAGATCCAGGTGGGATGAGATTGGGAAGATCCAGGTGGGATGAGGAGATTGGAGAGGTCCAGGTGGGATGAGGAGGATCCATGGAAAGCTGAGGAAGATGGAAAAGCTTTGGTGGGATGGACATTGGAAAGATCCAGGTGGGATCAGGAAGGTGGAAAAGCTGAAAAGGATGGAAATATCCCAGTGGATTGAGGGGATTGGAAAGATCCAGGTGGGATGAGGATGGGAAGATCCAGGTGGGATGAGGAGATTGGAAAGATCCAGGTGGGATGAGGATGGGAAGATCCAGGTGGGATGAGATTGGGAAGATCCAGGTGGGATGAGATTGGGAAGATCCAGGTGGGATGAGATTGGGAAGATCCAGGTGGGATGAGGAGGATCCATGGAAATCTGAGGAGGATGGAGAAGCTCGGGTGGGACGAGGAGGATGGAAAACCCCTCCCGGCCCTGCCCAAATCCCGGGAATGCTCCGCAGGTCTCCAAGCTGGTCCACGCCATCAAGATGGGCTGGATCCAGCCCCGGAAGCCGAAGGAAAACGTTCCCACTTTTTACGACCTGTGGGCGCGGGAGGATCCCAACTCCGTGCTGGGCCGGCACAAGATGCACGTTCCCGCTCCCAAAATTCCACTGCCGGGCCACGCCGAGTCCTACAACCCGCCCCCGGAATTCCTGCTCAGCCCCGAGGAGGTGGGAACTCCGGGAATGTCGGGAATTCCGGGAGATCCCAATCCCAATCCCAATCCCGTTCCCGCTCCCAAAATCCCGCTGCCGGGACACGCCGA